AATAACAAAATGTGTGTGACAATGAATGTCAAGATTGCCTTTGAGTGTGAAATTCTGTGTCAGCCCATTATCAGCTCTAATCCCAGTTCAACAAAGCACTGAGTAGAGATTTAGCAGACCAGGAATGAAGGTTTCTCACAGATCCAGAGACCTTCATTAAGGCTCTTTTACATAATGGATCCCACACAAAGGGGGAAGCATCCAGCTCGTCTGATAGACCCCCAAAAGCTGGCAACCTAACCATAATGCCCAAAAGCAGAGAGTATGGGGGAAACCGTCTGCCATAGAGGCAGGCGCAGGGTTGGGATGAAGAGAAGGGGGGGGGGGGATATACTGGAGACACTAATGGTGAAAAATGTGCACTGGTGGAAGGATTGGTGTTCCATCAATGTGTAACTGAAACTCAAACATAACAGCTTTGCAACTGTATCTCATGGTGATTAAAAAAAAAGAAAGAAAGAAAAGAAAAGAAAAAAAGAAGCTAGCAACCTAATTAAAATGGAATTGGAATTTTTTTTTAAATTCCAACTTAAAAAAATTAAATCCATGAGATACAGTTACAGACTTACAAACTTTCATGATTACATTTCAGTGATACAACAGCACAGCAGTAGGGTGTTTGCCTTCCACACGGCCAGCCCGGATGAGCCGGGTTCGATTCCTCCACCCCTCTCGGAGAGCCTGGCAAGCTACCGAGAGTATCTCACCCACACAGCAAAGCCTGGCGAGCTACCCGTGACATATTCTATATGCCAAACACAGTAACAACAAGTCTCACAATGGAGACATTACTGAGCCCGTTCGAGCAAATCAATTAACAACGCGAGGACAGTGCTACTATTCAGTACCCATCCCTCCACCAGTGTCCATTCACTATCAATGTTCCCAGTATCCCTCCTGCCACCCCCACCCCTTCCCACCTCTGTGACAGGCACAGTCCCTCTTACTCTCTCTCCTTTTGAGTGTTATGGTTTGCAATACAGGTACTAAGAGGCCATCATGTTTGGTTCACAGTCTACTTTTAGCACATATCTTCCATCCTGAGCAATTCCACCAACCATCATTTACTTAGTGCTCCCTTCTCTATCCCAGCTGCCTTTTCCCCCAGGATGTGAGGCCGGTTTCCAAGTCACAGTGTGATCTTCCTGACACTTATCTCTACTGTCCTTAGGTTAGCCTCCTAATATGTTACTTTATATTCCACAAATAAGTGCAGTCATCCTATGTCTGTCCCTCTCTAATTTCACTTAGCATGATACTCTCCATTGGACTTAGAAATTTAAGTCATCTTCAGTTTATTGCCTTTTATAAGGCAAACCCTTCCACTCTACTAGTAATAGCTGCATTCTAATAAGACTGCAAACTGGCAATCTCCCTTTAATCAAAAAGAAAGCCTAACTCTTGATGGACTCCTAGCCATCATGGAAAACATCAAACTATCTTAAGACCTCCATGTTGTGAAGAGAGTCAAGATACAACTAAAGAAAAGGCCAGAGATAGCCCAGGAGTGAAGGCACTTGCCTTGCAGTTTGATCCCTAGTTCCACAAATGATCCCTAAGCACCACCAGGAGTGATCCCTGAGCACAGAGCCAAGAGAAACCCTTGAGAACAATTGGGTATGCACCTCCTGCCTGGCCCCCACCCCAAAAAAAGGGAAAGGAAAGGAAAGGAAAAATAAGGTAGTAGAATCACTGCTGCATTTTGATTCTTCACACTTTTAAAAACATTATTGTTAATGCCAAATTAGTTTATATGCCAACTTAAGCCAGCAGTGTATAGGAGGCCTCATTTTTATGAAACTTCCAGCTCTTGGCTTTTAAATTTTGGCCCAAATTCTATCTGTTCTTTTTCAATAATTTGCATTTTACTAAATTAGTAAGGTTGAGCATCATACACTACTGGACTTTTTTTTTTCCACCTGTATCTTTTGGCCATTGTTCTACTGGATTGCTCTGTACATTGACTTTTACCATCTCTTTATATATTCCTTAAAATCATCAAAATACTGGGGCTAGAGCAATAGCATAGTGAGTAGGGCGTTTGCCTTCCATGTGGCCGACCCCGGTTTGATTCCCAGCATCCCATATAGTCCCCAGAGCAACCCCAGGAGTAATTCCTGAGTGCAGAGCTAGGAGTAACCCCTGAGCATCACCAGATGTGACCAAAAAAGCAAAACAAACAAAAAATCATCAAAATACTTTTTTTTCCTTACAAAAATGAAAATCTAGTGTAGTGGTTTAAAAAAAATCCTTCTTTCCTATCTTTTCTCTCCCTGCAGATTTAGTATGTGCAAAAAAACAGCAGTCTATTCTGTGCTATGAAGACTTGAAATCTGAAAATATTTTGTTCCACTCTGCCTGGAAATACTCTAAAAACAGTAATATATTCCTGGGAATAAAATTAACAAGTGCTTCTGTATTCAAAGACAGTATTCCTCTTCACACCTAGCTGAATGCTGCACTAAAAGATTAAGGAATTTTATCCAAGCAAGTTTGGATTTATTGGGGAGGGTGAGTTAATGAGAATAATTAATTCTGTAGTATAAAAGAATCCCAGAACTGAAAGAACAGAAAATTGAAAAACTTAATCCAAAAATTGGGCCCTTCTAAAGATCAGAAGGGTGCCTTCCTCTCCACATTGCCCTACACATTGTCAACAGTATTTAATTTAACCTAACTCTCCTCAAATTGCTGCTCTGCTTTGAGGATCAAACAGTTGAGAGAATAGTAAGATTCTGTTATCAGACTGAGCTTCCTTCTCTTCCACCCCACACTCTATGCTGGTTGCAGAAGGTTTAAGACAAATCGAAGCAATTACGTTCATCAGTTATCTCTAACAGTTCCATCAAAAACAAAACACATGTAATTTTGGTGTCCTATATTATTTCCTAGGTTCTAATACAAATCAATGTTTCTCAATCAGAGCTTGTTCCAGTGTATCCCCATGCCTCCCATCAGTTGGCCCCCTAGGCTCATGCAGTGCCCTCTCCCCAATTTACAATTTCCATTTGTGGCCTTCTTGGAATATCTGGGGTACACAAGGAGCCACATGCATCTTGCTGAGAAATGTTGTTGTACGCCATGAGATTACCTCTTTGATATAATATAAAAGACATGGTTTTACCATCCAGAAGAGTTCAAATTTCAACCCTATCACTTGTTACTTAACCTTTCTAAAAATCTATTATGAGAGACACAAAAAGATCTTTAGGTAAATCACATACATAGCTCAGTAAGTGCTAGTTTTTGAAGAGGAGGGGCTCTGATAAGCTTAACAAATCTTTTAAAAAAAGAGAGGTCTGCATTTTCTAAAAGCATATTAAAGCCTCTAAATAATAAAATGCTATTGGTCGCTTTTTTCCAGGGCAATTATCTCCCCAAAAAAATCATCGTCTAAACATTTTTTTTTCTTTTTGGGTCAAACCGTGAGATGCTCAGGGGTTACTCCTGGCTCTGCACTCAGGAATTAATTACTCCAGGTGGTGCTAGGGGGTGAGGGTCGGAAGGAGGGTGGGCGGGGGAAGCTTATGGGATGCCAGGGGTCGAACCCAGGTCAGCAGCATGCCAGGCTAACACCCTACCCACTGTCCTATCACTCCATTGTCTAAGGTTTTGAATTAAATACTAAAAGTTAGCCCATTCCCTCTATTTCTGACTTATTTGATTAGGGAATACTGTTCCAAGTTAGAAAATCCCAGCCATTTTGCCAAGAAGATTTAACAGAAACTACAGGGACAGGAACAGGAAAAGGTAAATGTCAACAGTATTAATACAGAATAAAAAGCTGCCGATTTCTTTGTTCACTAGATCAACAGGAAGTCAACTGAATGATAAGTCTTATCTCTTTCTACTCTGATAATCTGAATTTCTCTGTTGATGAACTTCTTATGAATGACCCAATGGTTCCATTCAGTTATTTTTCCCAATTAAATTCCAAGGCATACTGAAAAACATTTACGTTTCAAAAATAATTAGACAAAAATTTTGGTTGCTTTTGTTTTGGGGCCTATCCAGCATAGCAAGGGCTTACTCCTGGCTGCTCTCTGGAATCAGTCCTGGAGGACTCAAGGGGACGATATGGGAATCTGGGGTGTCCCAGGGATTGAAGCCCCGTTGGCCGCGTGCAAGGCAAACACTTTACCCATTGTATTATCGTTCTGGCCCTAAACACAAAAATTTTGTTTATAAAAATGTGAGGGAGGAGAGATAGTAGAGCAAGTAGGGCGCTTGTCTTGCACGCATCCTCCTGAGTGCAGAGCCAGCAGTAATCCCTGAGCATCTCCGGGTGTGGCTCCAAAACCAGATATATGTGTACATATATATACATATACATAATATATATACACACACATATGTATGTATGTGTGTGTGTGTGGTTTTACAGCCTAAACACAAAATCGGCATACACCCCTACCCTTCAAAGCCCCTCAAGCCCTCCCAAGGAACCTTGCTCATTTCTCACTTCCGTTACCCACTCATCATCTATCAAGTCTGAGACCAGCAGGCTGCCAAGCCTCGCGCCTCTTCAGGGCTCGGTCTGTTATGCTAATAACGCTCAATCCGCCCAGAATGAAACAGTTGTGTGAAAGAAAACGACTGAGCGGCAGACCTGGGCTGTACCAACAGAAAACCGTGTCGCTAGAACAGAGAAGCCACTCCTTGCCTCGCCCGCAAGGGAGGGCAAGCAGTCAGCAGCGGACGGCGAGAATTCGGGTTTATCATTAACACCCATCAGCGCGGGCATAAGATTAGAGGTTGTAGCTCCACAACCCCGGAGCGCAACCGGCGAAGGGAGGTACGCGATCTGCCCCAGCGGCAGCGGGGGACGCGGGCACCGGGGGCGGCGGGGGCAGGTGGCGGCCGCCCGGGACCCGCCCCCGGCCCCGCCCCCGGCCCTCCGGCTCCGCGGCCGAGCTGCAGCCCGGGTTCCAGGCGACCAGCGCCGGGGACCCCGGGACCCCCTTCCAGCCAGGCTCGAGCTGCGCACCCGCGACACGTACCTGCTTTGCAGACCGGGGCGCTCGGACTCCTCTTCTCCGGGGAGCTCCGGCTCTGCTCCGGGGACCTCCTCCGGTGCCGGACGCGGGCTGGGGGTGGGGCCGCGCTCACCTCGCCGGTCCACAGGTGGGTGGGCGACGAGCTGGGCGACGACACGGTACCCAGCAGCGGCGGCGGAGGCGGCGGCCGTGGGGGGCTCCCGCGAGCCCCGGGCGCGGCGCCGCGCGTGGGGCTGGTGCCTCGCGTGGACGTCGCGGACGCGCCCGTCTGCGTGGCCACCGTGGGGCTGGTCCGCGCGGTCGCACTCCCGCCGCCGCGCGTGGGGCTTGTGCTGCGTGAAGCGGTGCGGGGGCCTGAGCCGCCGCCGCCGCCGCCTGCGCCGCCTGCACCGCCCGTGCCGCCGCCGCCGCCGCCGCTGCCGCCCGAGGGGCCTGAGCCGCCACCGCAGCAGCCGCCGCCGTTGTTGCCGCCGCCGCCGCCGTTGCTCCGCGTGGGGCTGCCATGTTGCTGCTGCTGCTGCTTCAGCTGGAACGGAACCGTCGCCCTCATGGGCTGCAGGCGACTCCCAGCTCCCCCGGCCGGGGCGACCGCACCGCCCCCGAGGGAGCCGGCCGGCGTGGGGGACCCATTGCGCCGCACCCGCTGGGACATGGTCCCCCCTCCCTGGTGACTGGGCGAGACGGGGGGATGGGGGAGCTTTGTTGTTGTTGGGTTGCAGGGGGAAGATTCTCGAGGCCGGAGGGAAGGCCCCGCGACGGGGTGACGAAGCCGGAATCCGGGGGTGCGAGGGGCGGCCGGGCCGTGGCCGGCAGCAACGAGGTGGTGCAGCCGTCGCCGCCGCTGCTCCTCCTCATCAACAATAGTGTCTCCTCCGCTGCCCCCGCCCCCTGCGGACGCCCATTGGTGCAGCGTCAGCCGCGCTCGAGCCGCTCCACCGCGCCCATTGGCTGCGAGCTGCTCGGGTCCCGGACCCCCCGGGGCCTTAGAGCGCTTGGGTTTGCGCGGAGACCGTCTGCTCTTTAAAGAGAAAGAGACCCGCCCCCCGGGGGGAGGGGGCGCGGAGGAAAGAGGCAGTGTGTGTGTGTGTGTGTGTGGTGTGTGTGCGTGTGTGTGTGGTGTGTGTGTGTGTGCGCGCGCGCAAAGGCCGTGTGTGTGTGTGTGTGTGTGTGTAGGGGCGGGGAGGAAAGAGACCGTGTGTGTGTGTGTGTGTAGGGGCGGGGAGGAAAAAGGCCGTGTGTGTGTGTGTGTGTGTGTGTGGTGTATGTGCGCGCGTGTACACGTGAGGCTGCGTGTACGCGCGCGCCACGCCACGCGTGTCCCTCCCTTCCCACTGGGCGGGGGAGCCCCCGAGGATTTAAGACTCCGAAATATTGCCTGAGAGGACGTGCAGAACCGGAGTGGTCCTCGGGGATGTCTGATGCCTTCCCCCAACTCGTTTCTTTACCCTCAGTATTCACTGACTGAGGACGTGTACAAGCATCTTTCTGGCTTTTTTTTTTTTCTTGATCTTTTTGTTCTGTCCTAATTCTAACCACGTTTGGGCAGGTCTTAAAAGAAGACGAAATGGAATTGATGTTACTGTTATTGTACATCTTTAAGAAAAATCCTCAAAGTGCAAAATTTATCTCAGATATAAAAAGAATTGCTAGTTAGAATGTGAGTTTAGATTTTGTCTGTGGAGTCCAGTTATCAAACGCTGCTGCTTCCCTCCTGTATTCCAAATCAAAATTTTATTTTAGTCATCTACTTCACAGTTCTCCAATACCTTGGAAAGATGCCTTGCCACCTTACAGTTTGCAAAGTGCGGTAGTTTTCAAAAGGCCTTATTTGATCCTCACAATCATTTGAGAGAGAACTGGGCTAGTCATTCATATTTTTGTCTAGTAGAGAAAATAGCTTTCAACCATCTGTGTAAAAAGCTCAGAAAAGGAGCCAGGGAGGGGCTGGAGAGATAGCACAGCGGCTAGGGCGTTTGCCTTGCACGCGGCCGAGCCAGGTTCAATTCCCAGCATCCCATATGGTTCCCTGAGCACCGCCAGGAGTAACTCCTGAGTGCAGAGCCAAGAGTAACCCCTATGCATCACCAGGTCTGACCCAAAAAAAAAAAAAAAAAAAGGAACCAGGGAGATAATTTAACTCTTAGTTATACCTTTATTTATTTTAACTGTTGGAGACCCCCAGCACTTCTAGGTCTGGCCTTGATAGCCATAGCTCTCACACCAGGCAGAGCTATGCAGAAGGTATGACCCTATTTAACAAATAAATGAAACAAACCAAAAAACAAAAAAAAAAAGGCAAAAAATGTTAAGGTTTTCTGTGCAAGACAAAAAGCATAGTGGACCTACAGTCTTCACATATTCACTTCTCACACTGAAAATTGCCTATGCTTTACCCTTCTTTCCTTTATTACTATATTAGACATTCTATGCAGAGTCCCTCTAGTAAGGATGAAGAGCACAGTATGGTTACTCCTGGACCTGAAATCCAATTAAGTTCCTGTGCTCAGTGGTTTAAAACTTTTGAGACCTAAAAATAGGAAGATAGGGTCTCTCACTGTGGGAGCCAAGTACTCTACACTTGAGCCACATCCCTTCAGATACCTCACTTAATCTGCAACGTTGAGTATGTCTCCAGCCAATTTCCTTATCTATAAAATGCAATTAAACAATATCATCTCCATATAGTTACTGTGATTATTAACTGAAGGTTAAATGGGAATATGATCTGTAGAAGGTGCGCAACACTTCAAAAGTCTCAGAAGTCCTTCTTGGCTTATCACAATTTTTTCTCTTCTCTCCTCTGGTACAAAAAGAATCCCATATATTTAGCCAAGGATTCTATCTTAAGTTGGTTGATGCTCTGGATAGAACTGAGACCGATACCACAATCACCACAACCTAAAGTGAGGACATTAAGAATCATTCTCAGGGACCAGGAATATAGCTTGAAGGTCTGAAACCATGCTTTGCATGTAAGAGCCCCTAATTCAATTCCAGGTATTGTATGATCTTACCTGCCTCTCCACTCCAGTACCATCAGGAGCCACCCTGAGTACCATGCTAGGAGTAGTCTCCATGTTCCATTATGTTGACCCAAAATTATAACAACAACAACACACACACACAAACACACACACACACACACACAAAGTTTAAAAATCAGCTTTGGGGGATTGAAGTGATAGTATAGCAGATAGAATGCTTACCTGACTCCTGAGTACAGAGCCAGGAGTAACCCCTGAGCATCACTGGATGTACCCTAGAGACATTAATTAATTAATTAATTAATTAATACCAGCTTTTCACTAGACTGGAAACAGCAAACTGCCAAGATCTGTGCAGAAACCTAATCTTGTCTTAAAACAATAGAAAAGAAAGAAGCTTTCAAATAAGGATGTCATGGATTGTATCTGGCAGTTTGTCCTGCACTAAAATTGGAGCTCAATACATATTTAATGAATTAAATCAAGACAGTGATTAGTGTTTTTTGTTTTGTTTTGGGGCCAGATCCAGTTCAGGGCTTACTCTTAGTGCTGTGATCAGGGATCACTTATATGGGGCTGGGGGATTCTATATGTGGTCTTGGTCAGAGTGTGCAAGGCACGCACCCTACTATCTCTCTGACTCAGATACTTAGAATGTCACCATATTAGAGGCCTATTTGTTGGTGGCAGGAGACTTTGAGCTTTTCTGAGCTAAAGAATGAATTTTAGCAGTTTATTAAATCAATGTCTTAATGTCTACTTGGTCGTTTCTTTCTGGTTCTGTTTCCTATAGAAACTCAAACCCCATCGCTCTAGAAAATGTCTTTTTTTTATCTTATTTGACAACTTACTCACTCATGAGGTTTTTTTTTTTAGTATCTATCCTTTTATTTGGGATGACAGTAAAATTACTATGACAGTATTTTTTTATTCAAATGAACTAATTTCAAGGTAAATGGTTATTATAATATCTTGATTTTAAAATTTTATTCTGGTAAGACAGGAAAATGACTTTATAATTATTTTACAATTTCAATGATTTATAGAATATAAAATATTTGATACTAAATTTTCTTATGCTTGAATACTGAAAATAATCATTGTTAGCCCAAATAAACTGGTACCATCAATATTTTAAAAATTAATAATATTTACATAATAAATAAATTGTAATCACTAAGTTCTTCCTCATCACTGAAATACGTGCTTTTCTTTATTCTTGGGAGTCTTGAATCATCTGATGTTGAGGGACCTCCTGAATTGGGCTTCCATTTATTTTGTTCTTCAATTTTGGCTTGCTAGAAAGCAATGGCCTGACTAAGACTGTCAAGAGAAGGATCTTCACCATCATCCTCACTGTCTTCTACTTCTTCAATTTCTTCTTCTGGTTCAGGAATTTTCTTCTTCTTCTCTTTTTCTTTTTTCTTTGGAGGTTCATGTTCTCCAAGCATATTTTTGGGACAGGCATAACTCAAGTGTCCACTTTCCCCACATTCATAACACTTAGATTTATCAAAGTAGTTTCATCTTTAGATAAATTCAGCTGCTCTTCCATTATCAATAGCAATACTTGCTTTTATTACTCTACCAAATAACTGTTTGTTATTTATTGACCTGGTACAATTCTGTGCAGAGTCTTTATCCAAAAACAAAATAAATGCTACCTCTTTACTCTTCCTGGTATCTTTATCTTTCAATTTAGTAACCTTTACAACTTTGCCATACTTGGAGAATATCCGGTATAAGTCATTGTTGGTCAGGGAAAAAGGCAAGTTGGATACATACACGGTGCTCTTACTTGGGGCAAATCCACCACTCATTTCCTCCGGTGGGCCGACCCAGGGCCTCGAGGGCGAGAGCTCTTAGTTCCTGCGGGGTCCTCCCCGTCTCATATTGCTCATGAGGGTTTTTTTTTATTTTTTATAATTTTATTTATTGAATCACCAAGAGAACAGTTACAAAGCTTTTGGATTTAAGTCTTGGTCATACAATGAAACACCCGTACCTTCACCAGTGCCCATTCTCCACCACCAAAAATCCCAGTATACGCCCATCCCAGACCCTCCCCCTACCTGTGGGGCAGATGATTTCCACATTACTCTCTCTCTACTTTAATTAGATTCAATACTTTGACACAAGACCCACCATTATTATTTGGGATTTTACCTCAACACTCAGATCTGCTGAAAAGGCAACAGTAGACATTTTGTTTTCTATTGCTGGTTATGAATAACATATGATGTCACATGGCTGCAGTAGTGGCCGTGCAATTTTGAAATTCTGGAATTTTAACAGTTATATCTGGAGGCATTTCTGCCAAAACCTGCTGGGTCCTGAGATTTGTTCCTGAGTCTCTGGGATCATGGCCGTTAAGCTCTTGATCAGGAGCCAGAAAGTCTGTTCATGGGCGGTGACTTGGGGTCTCTTTGGGATAGGGAGGAAAAGGCCGGCTCCATCCCCATGCCATGAGGCTCCACGTGTTTCGTCTCTGAGGGCCCAAACCTGACTGCCCAATGGCCTCTGGAGGATGGCAGGCACCAAGCTTCCTAGGGGGAGCAGGCAGAGGGACAGCACCCTTTCCCCCCTGGGGCGGCCCAGCGACAGTAACCTACTGCAGGTCCAGACACATTTCTGCCAAAAGCCACTGGGTTCCGAGATTTGTTTCTGT